TTGCCCAAAAAATGTATGATTGTGGGCTAATTTTAAAAATTTAAAATTTTTTATAATTAATATTAATTAGATGCATTTTTTTTATTGGAGGGCGTACCTACTCCGGATGGAAAAATCGCTCGCCATCAACACCTAATCCTGTTTCCGTTGCCTGAGCTCCAGCAGGAGCAGGAAAGAGAAGAAGAGGAAAATCGGAAATGATGAATTCCATTTCCGGGCTTTCGATGTATCGTTCTCTTTGCTTTTTCGCTTCTTTTAATCCGAATCCCCTCAAATGTCCACTAATTTCTCTCCGGCGGCACTTGTCGACCTACTCCCTTCGTCCGCCTAGGTGAGCTTCACGACCTCCTTTTCATCTTTCTATAGCCGATGATCCACATGGCGCGTTCTGCAACGGTGAATCTTCTGTTCTACTTGCCCTTAATTGAGAAATTTTCGTATCCTCTAACATTTCCTAGAAATAATTTTCAGCCTCGACTGCGAAATTTCTGCCAGTTTGGAATTTAACAGGATTTGTGAAATTCTTGGCTGAACAGAGTTTAACAGATTTTTCTTTTAAATTTTAGATTCTGATAAAAAAAAATTCAAACAGTTTATCAAGATTTAAGGAGATTTAACAGTTGCCATGGTGAGTCTCATCCTACTTGTAACCAAACAGCTTTATTGTCCTCAAACTGAATCCTTTCTTGCTATCGTTTCTTTTTTGTGTAGGTCAGAGTTGTCGTTCACAGTAGGAACCCACCTTATTCCTCATCCAGCGAAGGTGGCTCATTGTTGTTGAACTTTTTAATACTGAATCATTTTGTCCACCAATTTAACGGCTTCTGAAAATTGATTATATCAAGGCTCATACTGGTGGTGAGGATGCCTTCTTCGTGAGCAGAAGCAATGGGGGTGTTCTGGCCATTGCAGATGGTGTTTCCGGGTTAGCCATCTGACTTTGAAGCCAATTGTTGTGCTTTAACCCTTTATTGTTAAAATTTTCATTTTTGCACAATCAACTGGCAGTTGGGCAGAACGGGGAGTCAATCCCGCGCTGTTTTCCCGGGAGTTGATGGCTAATGCTTCTAATTTTGTCATGGATGAGGAGGTACTTCTATTGTTCAGGGTTGGAATTCCTGTGTCTGAAGGTTATAGAAAGGGTACTTTGCTTTCTCTGTGTATGATGCACCACCATTCATGTTCTCCTTGGTTTAGTGTTTGAAGACAAACTTCTATAGCAGATTTGTCACATCCTCGATCATTTTAGAGTATTAACTATGTCTCACTCTCATTTTTAAATGTCATTAAACGGGTGCTTTGCTTCTTCAGATAGCACCATCCACACTATCTTTGGTCTTCTATTTGAAGTCTTTTTGTGCCTTTGCTGATAACTGTTATAGCATGTTTAAATCTTCCATGATCAGTTAAGGTAATTAGCTATGTTGTTCTTTCATCTGTAAATCATTTTTCTGCATCGGGAACTTGACCACATTTTTTCTATCCTCCATTATCAATTTCATGTAGCCG